TTTGCACACACTCCATACAGGACTTGTTGTCTGCTCCCTGCGTCCTGCTGGTTTTGCTTTACTTGACAGTGGCATCCTTAATAGTTAAACAATATTCATTAATATCATGAAAAATAGTTTGAAAGTGTATAATACCGTTAACTTAACACTGTTAAACTTTAGAATTTTTTTTTTGAAATAATGTTAGAGCTTTAAATATAATATCAGAGTAACATTCTCTGCAGTTGCACCACCTGCCTTACTGGTTGCACCACCTGACATTTGCAACTGATTTCAAATTAAACAGGCATCTACTAGAACACTAGCATTAGCTTTTGTTCTTGCTAACAACTTCACACATATACATTTTAAATAGAATAAAGACATTTATGATAAAATAACATTTTCTAGTTTTACATTGGTTGTACCGCCCTGACATGGAAAGTGAACCACTCTATCTATAAGTTGAAAGTAGCTGTTTTTATCAATATTCAAAAGATATAAAAACACTTTCACTCTGCTATAAAGGTCAGTTGAGGTCCTCTTGATGATGCAATATCCTGTTTACTGTTTTCCACTTTAATTTCATAATAAAAGTCCCATCTTTACAGCTGTGCCACCCTGATATTTGAGAACATTCAAATTGCTGGACAAAAGTTTTTAAATTATCGCAACAGCTTTAAACTATTGGTATTTGTAAAAATTTGGTTTATTTCAATCGTTACAACAATAAAAGCATGCCATCGTATTTTATTTTGAATTTATTATCATTTCAATACATTTTTTAATAGTTTTCTTAGACTGTTCATCTGCTAGGACAGGTGCACCGCCTGATATGTTCAGGGTTTGAGATGCCAAAACATAAAATAATATATATTATTTGATTGTACTGAAAATGTATCAAACCTAGATAGGTTTTATAGAATGAAATGATATATGTCACGAATTGATACAATTATTTTAAAAGGAAATAGTGGACTCGGACACAAAAATATGCATGTCATGTCATTGACCCAGAAACATGGAAAAGTAGTAAGTAACATGGTGGAGGAGTTTGTTTTGTACCTGGGAGTGAGACCTTTGGGGCCTCGGTGAACTTGTTGTGGGGGCTTTAGGGGAGCCAGGTGGCGTCCCGAAGGAGGAAGGCGATCCCCGTCCTTCAGTGAACCAGGAGAACGGGACGAAAGATCCTGAAGACCGAGACGGACTCTCAGACGGCTCCCTGAAGACAGAAGACAAGGTGAGGACACGAAGAACATGGATGTGTTATGTTTTCGTGTGATGTTGATGTGATGGACCCACCGGCTGCCCACAGAGAGCCTGTTGGATTTATCTTTCCTCACTCTGATATACGAACGTCTGAGAGTCACCCTGAGAGCGAGAGAGACATTATTACATTATTAGAGATCTACTTTCATCAACGGTAAGAATGATTATTACTGACGAGAAACTGGACAATGTGATTGATCAGTCAGCTGCATATTATTTTTGAATGGAGAGTACCTCTGTAATAGTGTTGCATTATGGGTTGTTTTCAGCTTTGTAGCTATGCTAGCTCTTCAGGTCTGTTGAATTAATTGTAGTTTTCTTCTGTGATCTCCGTCATCTTGACGTTCAGATAAAATCAGAGATGTTTAATTTTATCGTAGGTTTTTTAGTCTCGACTCGATGGTGAAATTCAATGAAGTGAACATTGTGAACAACCAATAGTAAGACCTCTCTGTCTCTGTTCTCTCTACCAGAATCAAGTCCTACTAAAGGGGCGAGGCATTGGTCATGTGACACAGAACCACAGAAACAGGAAATTACTGTGTGTGGGTCTCACCCGAGATCCAGAAAACGTCTCTTGGTTTTCTTGTCGAAGACAACAGTTGGACTGCCGGGATCAGCTGGACTTGTGTCCCGACTCGAATCAGAAACCAACACTGACACACACGCACACACACACACACACACACGCTCCCATTATTAGTGAACCCATAAATAATAATGAGACAAAAATGTAGGTTTTTCGCCATCAGATTAGAAGCTGTTTGGCGAACACCAACATCACCACAAACACACCATGTCCAGCGTGAAGCATGGTGGTGGCAGCATCATGCTCTGGGGATGCTTCTCAGCAGCAGGCCCTGGAAGACTTGTAAAGGTAGAGGGGAACATGAATGCAGACAGATATCCCCAAATCCTGGAGATAATCTGACTCAGTCTGCAAGAGAACTACGACTTGGGAGAAGATTTATTCTCCAGCAAGACAACGAGCCCAAGCATACAGCAAAAGCTCCACAGAATGGTTCAAAGACCACAAGGTGAATGTTCTGGAGTGGCCAAGTCAAAGCCCAGACCTCAATCCAATCCAGGATCTGTGGCTGGACTTGAGAAGAGCTGTTCACGCCCGATCCCTGAGCAACCTGACAGAGCTGGAGCTGATTTGAAGAAGAATGGAGAAAAATCTTAGTGTCCAGATGTGCCAGCCTGAGTGAGACACACATCCCCACACACACACTCAGTGCTGTGATTGCAGCCAAAGGTGCATTCACTAAATACTGACCTGAAGGGGGTGAATACTTATGCTATCATTTACTTTACCTTATATATGTTTAATTAATGTACATTGTTTTGTAAAAATCAGTTTTCACTTTGATATTAAAGAGGTTTTTTTTGCAAATTCTTGTTAAAAAAGCCAAATTATACTGACCATGATTTCATGTATAAAAGCAACAAAAGGGTGAAACATCCAAGGGGGGTGAATACTTCTTATAGGCATTGTATTTGGAGTTTGGCCCTCATCCTCTAACGCCATCCGACGTATTCTTTGTCTTTTTGTCACGAGTGTGTGATCGGTACTGAGCATGTTCAACTCTCAGGTGTGTCTCTGGTGTGTCTCGGTTGTGTCTCGGTTGTGTCTCGGGTGTGTCTCTGGTGCTTTGGGTGTGTCTCGGTTGTGTCTCGTGTGTGTCTCGGGTGTGTCTCTGGTGCTTTGGGTGTACCTCGGTTGTGTCTCGGGTGTGTCTCGGGTGTGTCTCTGGTGCTTTGGGTGTACCTCGGTTGTGTCTCGGGTGTGTCTCGGGTGTGTCTCGGTCGTGTCTCTTGTGTATCTCGGGTGTGTCTCGGTTGTGTCTCGGGTGTATCTCGTGTGTATCTCGGGTGTGTCTCGTGTGTATCTCGGGTGTGTCTCGGGTGTGTCTCTGGTGTGTCTCGGTTGTGTCTCGGTTGTCTTGGTTGTGTCTCGGTTGTGTCTAGGGTGTGTCTCGAGTGCGTCTCAGGTGTGTCTCAGGTACCTTCGCTGTCGGGCCTCCTGCTCCTCCTCATGTAGACCCGGGAACAGTCGGAGGAGGGGCAGGACTGCGAGGGCGAGCTGCTGGGAGTCACCAGGGCCTCCTGAGACGTGGCATTGGTCAGCTGACGGTACCGCCCACGCGGGGAGGCAGCCAATGAGGCTCCTTCATCCTCTGGAGAGTGACGCACCTGAGGAGCCAAAGTGAGGAGAGTCTTTGGCTTCTTCCACACTGGTAGGTTTTCCATTTTAAAACTAACTACGTTTATTTTGAGTGTGGTCTACTTCTCTATTAGTGTGAACTATTGTGAAGTTCACACAGAAACTGTAAATGAACAAAAGTATTAATGCTCTCCAGTACGACAGAGTGTACTTGATCATGTGATGTCCGTCTTAGTGTGATGAAGCCTTTGTCTTTGATCAGAGGAGCTGAGCTCTGATTGGTCTCACCAGGGAGGAGTCGAAGGAGAAGGCGGGGCTTCGAACCGACAGCAGTGAATCAGGAGAGGGGGAGGAGCCTCCCATGGCCAGGTGGAGAGGTGAGCGGGCGAAGTGTAATGGGCTGTCCTGCTAACACACACACACACAGAGTTGAATGATGTCACAGTGATCTCGTCAAGGAGCTTAAGTGACGTGGCTGTTTACCTTTAATAAAATAAATAAATTAGATTAGACTTTATTGATCCAGACGAAATACACAAAGTATGAAGTCAGTTGTGTCTCAGTTATGTCTCAGATGTGTCTCAATAATAATACATGTTCTGCATCATGAGTACTTCTACTCGTGGGTGTACTTGTACCTTCTCAGTACTCTGACGTACCTTCCTCTCCAGACTGTCGTCACCCTCCGTGGAGCTCACGCTGTCACGGTACCGGGACCTGGAGGGGCGGTTCCTCCGGGCTTTGACGGACAGCTGGGCGCGGCCCTTCTGGATGCTGTTGTCCAGCAGCTCCGTCTCCGGGACCTCGTTCAGGTCTGAAACACCAAGAGCATTGTAGGGGATTGAAGCCTGTTATTGATCTGCTCTGATCGATATGTTGACCTGATGTATGAGGTCAGAGGTCAGAACACATGAAGTCACATGACCAGATCAAACACACAACTGATGTCATCAATAATGAACTTCCTGCTGTAGATTTTAGTGAGAACCATGAAAAAAACACTTAATGATTTCAACCTGAAATATGTTTTTAATGAGTTTATTAATCAATCAGCTGATTGACTGATGGACAGTCGTTGCCGTGGCAGCAGATTATCTCACTTAAAGCTTTAATTGTGATGACACCACAAGTTGTACACATAATGAGCTCCTCTTCATCCTCTTCATCCTCCCACTCACTCCATCAAATATTCATCACGCTGACCAACACACACACACACACTCACACACACACACACACACACACACACACACACACACACACACACACATGCACACGGTTGTCTGTCTGTTCTTGTGAGGCCCTGCAGAAACATATAGCTTTCCCAGGTCCCTAAAACTAAAAGTCCAACCTGTACCTGATTCAGCGACTAAAACTAAGTACACCATATATACGTATATATAAATATAAATATATACAGTATACAATATATATAATAGCAATATATAATGTCAATATAAATATATATATTTATATCTATATAATAGGTATATATACTATATATACATAGATATATAAGTATATATAAATATTTATATACTTCTATATATATATAAACTGATATTATCACTACTATTACCACACATTTGTATTTGTCCGTTTGTTCATGAACATGATGTGAAAATGGTTTATAGGATACAAAGATATGTCTCCCCCACAATCAGCTGACAGGAGTTAATTTCCCATGGGGAGGGCAGGAAATGAAGAAGCGCAGTGAGGTGAAGAGAAGAGGAGGAAAACAGATAGATGAGAGTTTGGAAGGAGATGACTGATGGGGAGAGAGGGAGGAGGGGGAGGGGCTCAGAGGAGAGATGAACTCTTATTAGAGGGGGAGGAAGGAGAGACTCGAGAGGATGTAGGAAACAAGAGGAAGGAGGTGAAAAAGTCGAGAAATTACATCTTTGGTTTCATGCTGAGGAAACGATCTCTTTTCTTTTGTTTTCACATGATTTTACACTACAAAACTAAAGTTATTTTATTTATTTTATATTATATAATAATAATAATATTATATAATATATAATATATAATATTCATTCATTTAATTTCATATATTAACTTATTTAGGTTTCAGAAAACATCTCTGACGTCTTTCACTACATTTATTTCTACGTTTCTGTAGCTCTAATGTTCTAAAAATAATCTCTCTGTTTACTACGAAGTTATTTACTGTCCAACGTTTCATTTAGTCTGATATCTTCAGTTTCAAAGTTTTTAAATACTGAAAACAAAAGAAAACAGACTCAAATGTTTAAATCAGCCAACAGTCCTCAACACTAAAACATTAACATTATTAAAGTTATTACATCTTCAACCATCAAAACAGTTTCATGTAAATTTTTGATTAGGAGACTAATAATAAACTAATTTACAACAAAATTACAGAACTCAGACTTATTTTGTTTGTGAAAATCTTAATTTCTAAACCAGAAATACTAAAGTACAATTTACTTGAGTAAATGTACTTAGTTATGCAGCATGTGTGTGTTTGTGTGTCTGTGTGTGAGTGTGTGGACTCACCGAACACGTTGTCTGTATCATCAGCAGACATGACTCAGTTGTTTCTGTTCAGAGAGAAAATGACAGAAATCAAAAGACGACATTAAAGTCCAACATTCAGTAAAATGTCTTCAGTAGTTCTTGAGGTTCCTGTCATTTCCAAGCGCTGTACTCTAACGAACTCCTCCTTGGGAAATGATCGAATCAACTTCAAATTTGGCCACAACAATCTAAAGACCGTTGTGATGAAAAGTTACTCAAAGCTTGTTGTTTCGTTAAAAGCCGTTGCCATGGGGACGCATTCTTCGCCATGAAAAATGAAGGTATTTTTGAGAGTTTAAAAATGCTCAAAACATAATCAAACTTGTGACACACATTTAAAATCCTGAATGTAGTTATCTGATGTGATATTAATGCTTCAGAGTAGCAAGTCGGCTCAATAGCGCCCCCTACAATATTTCGACGATGCAGCCCTCACAGTACGTTTCACCTAGTACAGGGGTCGGCAACCTTTACTATCCAAAGAGACATTTTGCTCTATTTTCCACCAAATAAAATGTGTCTGGAGACACAAAAGCTATTTTATATCGCAGCTTATAAAGTTGTATATGTAGTTATATTATATATACAAAAACTATAGTTTGTTGTATTTATGAAATTTAGAACAAGATTAAAGACAATTCTTGACATTTTATTGCTATTTTACCTGTTAGAGCAA